CGATGAGGTCGGCCAGCCAGCTGCTGGCAGCACGCGTGGGCGTAAGGGGGCGGGGCATGGTGAGGGTGCAGGGCGTGGTCATGGGGGCAAGGTGTGCAGGTGGTGGGAGTGGGGCGTGGTGAGGGGGCGGGGCGTGCCGGTGGAGGGGGCGGGGCGTGGTGGTGGGGGCTGGATGGGGAGGAGCTGACAATGCTGCTGTCGCTGCCTGTCCCCCCTCCCCCAACCCCCTCCCCTCCCCCCGCCCGCCCCCCCAGACCCCGATGAAGGCGATTCCTCTGTGTCCACTTAGGTGTCCATCGGTTCCTACCAATCTGCTGGTGCGCCCCGCCCGTCCCCAATGGATGTGTACCCCCCTCCCCCACCCCCCTCCCCTCCCCCCGCCCGCCCCCCCAGACCCTGAACTGCGTGAACCCCGAGAACGAGAACGCGCCCGAGGTGCCCGTCAAGGGGCTCAACTGCGACACGGTGACGCAGGTCAAGGAGAAGCTCCTGGACGCCGTGTACAAGGGCGTGCCCTACTCGCAGCGGCCCAAGGCCGGGGACATGGACCTGGGTGAGGGGGCGGGGCTTGTCCCGGCGGGGCGGGGCCTGCCTGTCTCTGGGGGCGGGGATTGTTCCCGGTGCAGCAGAATACGGGGCGGGGATTGTGCTTGCAGAGCAGAATAGGGGCGGGGCTTGTCCTTGTACAGCAGGGCAGGGGCGGGGCTTGTCCTTGCAGAGCAGGGCAGGGGGCGGAGCTTGTGCTAGCAGAGCAGGGGGCGGGGCTTGTCCTTGCACAGCAGGGCAGGGGGCGTGGCTTGTGCTTGCAGAGCAGGGGGCGGGGCTTGTCCTTGCACAGCAGGGCAGGGGCGGGGCTTGTCCTTGTACAGCAGGGTGGGGGCGGGGCTTGTGTCTGCACAGCAGAATAGGGGGCGGGGCTTGTCATTGCACAGCAGGGTGGGGGCGAGGCTTGTCATTGCACAGCAGGGTGGGGGCAGGGCTTCTTGCATAGCTGCACGGCAGGGGCGGAGCTTCTTCCTACAGGCAGGGGCGGGGCTTGTCCTGGTGGGCCGAGGTGGGGGCATGGCTTGTCCTTGCAGAGCAGGGTGGGGGGCAGGACTTGTCCTGGCTGGGCATGTAGGGGGCGTGGCTTACCCTTGCAGAACAGGGCAGGGGGCGTGGCTTGTCCTGGCTGGGCGTGGCTTGTCTTTGCAGAGCAGGGCAGGGGGTGTGGCCTGTCCTGGCTGGGCGTGGTGGGGGCGTGGCTTGCCCTTGCAGACCAGGGCTGGGGGTGTAGCCTGTCCTGGCTGGGCGTGGCGGGGGCGTGGCTTGCCCTTGCAGAGCAGGGCAGAGGGTGTAGCCTGTCCTGGCTGGGCGTGGCAGGGGCGTGGCCTGTCCTGGCTGGGCGTGGCGGGGCATGGCTTGCCCTTGCGGACCAGGGCTGGGGGCGTGGCCTGTCCTGGCTGGGCGTGGCGGGGGCGTGCGTCTGGCGGCGTGGCGGGGCGTGGCTGTCCGCGCAGTGGGGCACGCAGGGCGGGCAGCGTCCGCC